TTGTCTCTGTCCCCCCAGGGATCCCCTCATACACGGGCCTGCCTTTATTTAGTTCCAAGGCTATGTCCTCTGCTGGGGTGAAGTCAGTTTTTGGTGACCCACCACCTGTGCCTTGTCTGTGGGTTTTCTTTTTCACTGCTAAAACAGTACAGACAATGTGTGAGCAGGCACCTTCTGGGTACAATATATGCTTGTGCATTGTTAAGTATTAGTCAGGGTCCTTACCATTCTGCAGAATGTTCTTGTATATGATTTTGACTTGTCATGTCCGTTTTGGCCCGGTCATGTTTAATCTACATCACACACACACCACACGCCACACACACACACACACACACACACACACACACACATGAAGAGCAAACATAAAAAAAGAGAAACTTTATTTATCCCAAAAGGAAATTCAATGCTGTGTGCTTATTATTGTGCCTTGAAAAGCACAATACTATGCCCCCCATACTTATTATTATTGTGCCTTGAGAGCATAATACTACTCTTCCCCATACTTATTAGTGTGCCTGGGACAGCACACTACTATTATTCCTCTTGCTTATTATTATTCTTCCGTACGTTTTTCGGCGCCCTTCTCCTCCCGCAGTTTTGGTTGCACGTACACAAAAAAGGCATCAAAACGTGCGGCTCGGCCGGGAATGGTGTGCTATGACTTTTCTAAGCGTTTCGCCAAACAGTTTGCCGATAAATCGCCAAAAAATGAGAATCTTTAACTGCCAGAGTGCGTGACATCATCGCTAGAGTGTAGGGAGAGAGAAAAATTTGTCGAAAAATAAATTTGTAAACTGCTCTCAAGGCCACAAATGTCACTCTACAGAAATAATTTATACATAGAAATGTAGGTATTTGTTGGGGTCTCAGTGATACCACTGCTGAAGCTGTCAGACAAATAGTTTTGGCGGGAGACGCACTGATGCGCCAGCAACACCCTCTCACGGCCCCATCTACTCCCATGTTAAATGTAGAGGAGAAATGTTTAAAGGAGCTTGTTGAACCTCTCCTTTCTCAATCTCCCCAGGTCACATTTTTTAACATTAACCACTGAAACTCGGCAGTCCTATAGTCAACAAGATGACGACGCTCACGGTCTTTTCGGTTTTCATTTCGGTCGTTCCTGGCCAATGGCTCAAGGGGATTCATTTTAAAGGTTTCTGTCTCTCTCAAGAGTCTCAAGTGCTGTGGTCTCCCCTGGTTGCCACGACAACCAAATCACATACACGCACACACATAGCTAGCGAGAGATGCAAAATGACGAATCCAATTCAAACTCCAATTTATTTTCGGGACATGGAAAAAAGTTTCAAGTACAGCCCTGTTTATCAGAGAGGGAAAATCTTCAGACTGTACAAAACACTGCGTCTCTTGGGTGTCGCGACGCAACAGGTCCCAGTCCGTGCAACACAGGCACTTCTCTTCGGTGGCCATAACTTCACAATGTCCGCAGGTACACCACCAGTTTCCCGAAGTACGAGGCTGTGTTGCGGCATTGACTACCGGTAGCTCTCTCTCTCTCGTGGCCCTTTCACGGAGCTCCCGCAGCTATTTATCAGATCTGCTTCAAAATTAGTCAGTACAGTCAAAAAATGGTGCTGATTAAAAGTTGTGCTATTTGTGACTGTACGTTAAAGGGCGTGTCCGTGGCGTTCCCTCAAAGTTGGCCAGGTTGAATCGAATGGCAAACTGTGATGCTATTTACGGCATTTAAGGGCTTCTGTTTTAACTAACTCCTCCTACAGATTTTATCAGATTGACTTCAAATTCGATCACTTCAATCTACACACATTGGTTATCAAAAGTTGTGCTATTTGTGACTGTATGTTTAACCGTGTGCCCATGACGACGTGTCGAATTCCACCGATTGGCCATCAAACAGATAGTACTCATATCTTCAGTGTACAGTCCCACCCTGAACACGTCCTCATAACTTCAGCGTACATGATCCAATCTCAATGAAACTTCACGTGTTTGATAACAGTCCCACCCTGAACACGTCTACATAACAATATTCAGACATAGTGATAGCGCCACATACTGGTAACAGGAAGTATCACGTTTTATACTTTCATGTTCTACTCCTCGCAGGATGATCAGATCCACCTGAAATTTACTTATAAAATGCATAACACATTGTTGATGATATGTGTTGACTGTGGTGAGGGGGCGTGTCTTTGGGGTGGCGGGAAATTTTGATGGACCGCCACAAAACACGAATTCGCTATAACTTGAGTGTACATTGTCCAATCGGCTCCACACATGCTTGATAACAGTCCTGCCCTGAACACGTGTACATGACAATATTCAGACATAGTGATAGCGCCACCTACTGGCAACAGGAAGTAAGCGCTGCGTGGCGATTTCGCTTTCAGGTTGGCCACTAGGTGGTGCTACTATCATAAAAAATGCGTTTAGGCTAATAACTTCTGCATAGTTTGTCTCACATTCAAAAACCTTGTATCCACGCGTTCGGTGAATAGAGCTGAATCTCCCCATGTAAGCCCCGCCCACTTCCACCTAGAATCTTTTTTTTCTACAGCACGAAATGTCCATAAACTATCCGACTAGTCCAATTCGCACAATTTTTTTCACGTAGCATGATGGAACCGTCCTAATAATAAAGTATTTCGAAGAATTTTGATATTAAAAAAAATACTTTAAACTTCACGTGTTTGATAACACTCTCGCCTTGAACATGTCTACATGACAACATTCAGACATAGTGATAGCGCCACCTACTGGCAACAGGAAGTAAGCGCTGCCTGGCGATTTTGAGCTGAGTTACGTGAAATGACTGTGCCAGTGACGACTTGTCGAATTCTGCCCATTCGCCATAAAACAGCACTCATAACTTCAGTGTGCAAAGTTCAATCTCCAATAAACTTCATATATTCTGTAACAGTCTCGCCCTGAACACGTCCTCATAACTTCAGTGTACGTGGTCCAATCTCAATGAAACTTCACGTGTGTTACAACAGTCCCGCCCTGAACTTGTCTACATAGTGATAGCGCCACCTACTGGCAACAGGAAGTAAGCGCTGCGTGGCAATTTTGAGCTGATTTACGTGAAATTTCATGTTTTGGTCCGCTCGTCTAACGATGGCACGTGATGCGTCCCGAGTTGCGTGGAGTGCGAGGTCCCGCCCAACGCTGCTTGCAGCTTTAATTATTATTATTATTAGGTCATCAATTTATCAAAGAGTTATACAGTCTGATAGAGTTACATTTACACAGTTTCACTCATATCTGCAGTCCATTTCAATTAAAAATCTAACTGATTCATAATCAGACTACAACTGCGTTTTTGGAGATGTGAATTAACTATTTGGATTGTAATTGTGATGTTTCAGCGGAGCGGTGAGTGTGTAATTGTGCACTACTTACGCATTCAGGCGGTCAGCAATACTTTGCCACGCTTTTTCTCTTTGCTTTATCACTGTGGTGGTGTTGCCTTTCTTTTTAATTATGTCTTTTACCTCCTCGTATGCCTCCATGAGGATTTCTGCCTCCGGCGGGGAAAAGTAAGCCGCTCTACTTGCCATGGTGAATCAGTGAATCTGTGATCGGCGGCGGGGTCTATTTGAGGGAACCGTGAGGGCGCACTTATCCAGGATTGGTTTCACCTGGCTTTATGAATCCGTGTCTGCTCATCCTGGCTTGGTCTTTGTGCAACCAATTAAGCCTGGACGCTCTTGTTTTGGATTCATTAAACTCAGCTCAGTCACTTATCCTGGATGTCTTAATCCTACTTTTGTGCAGCGGGCCCCAGGACATCAAATATCGACACAAGGAATAAGACTGAAAAATCAACGATCTTCAAGCCTCTGTAACCCACTGGACGTGCTGAAGCCTCCCTACACACCCAGAGACTCTGCGTTGTGTTTATGGTTGTGATAGGGTGTATGCGCGGGGAGGGAAGAGAAGCACTGGAGACAGGAGTTCTGGATTGTGGCTGAGACCTGGAGACACTTTGTTGGCACACATTGACAGCTTTCACCTCTGGTCCTCTACACTGGCTGCTGGCTCCGTCGCCCTTACAGGACAATGAATGAAAACATTTTTTATAGTTTTTCTTAAAAACTATATTCTAGTGCAAATAAACAAATATATGGTGTCAAAATAATACTCTACAACTGAAAATGATAAATTACAGGAAGTGTAAATTAAATAAGGCACTCTATAAACATATGACTTCATAAAAATAAATTAAATGACTTAAAACAGCAAACTGAAAGAATAATGCTTCATCCTGCACTATTTCCACTGAACAGGTGCTCCACTCACGCACAGCAAGCTAGCCAACATTACGGCCAAGGTTTTCATACAAAATACAAGTGTTCGCTTCTCAAACCCACACCGAAATGTAAACGAACATAAATTAATGCATCAGATGAACATAATGACCAGATGGGTGATTTTAGTTAAGATATTTTAGAAGGATGCAGGCCGCCACTAACACTGCCTACCTTACAGGACAATGAATGACAACATTTAACCAAGATGGCGTCCCGCACAGCATGAATAACCCAACTACGGTGTCACTAAGGGACAAACTTCAACATTTGCTGTATTCACAGAAGACTAGAGGGCGCAACAGTGTCACCCTGTGGAGTATTTAGGATACTACCTCTTTATATCTTTCTTAGCTCTGATTGGTTGTTTTTGTAACTAGTTGTGTAGCTGCTTACATTTCAGTAATAATATGATCTGCCAATACATACTCATTTTTATTTTTTATTGAAGTTACCTACTGCAGCTTTAAGTGCAGTACTTTGCAATTTGTTACTTAAACGGTTTTTTGGATCTAGTGTGTCATTGTGTATTTGTTGTAGTTTTGTGGCGAAGCTGTTGTCTTGTTTGACAGTCTGTCCCCACAGTTCCCTGGTGATAAACAACATTTCCATATACTATAAATGTGAGTGTAGAGTCTGAGTCGTCTGAACCAGCGGAGTGACATCATGTCCTTATGGAGATGTGTCCCGGTGAGGCCCCTCCCTGTCCCGGTGACATCAGCCAGAGCCGTGCTGCTTTCCTCCAGGAGAACGCGGTAGCTGTGCACACACACAACCAGCAGCGCCGGGAGAACTCGACGGAAACTGCGCCTGCTCGGCTCTTATCGCTTTTTCTTCATGGGACAAAACAAGACTTGTTCTTCACCAGGTAAGCTGCCATTTGCTGTCGTATCCACCCCCTCTGTGTGTGCTAAAACCATGTTTCCCCTCAGCGTGGAAAAGTGTTGTAAATGTTTGAGAGCGACGGTTTTCATCCTGAAGCCAGAGAACGAGCTGCAACTTTTCACTGTGGGGAATGTCGCTCAAGAGCTCCATATTTAGCGCTGTGTGTGAGAAAATGACGGTTACACGAGAACAAATTGATTTGTTTTGGTCTTTCCCAGCCTTGAATGTATTCAGACTTTAACGGTAAAGCTACATTTGTCTTCTTTTTTTATGTCTCCGTTTGTTGGACCGTTGAAGCCCCAGAGAGGCTCTCTGTGGGCGGAACCGTACCTGCTGGAAAACTACAGTAACGGTTTAAAAGCTGCGGCTCTCCGCTCCGTTCATGGAATTCTTCATTCTTAGTCTGTTTAAACCTGCCGTTTCAAGTTTCAACCTCGTTTGGAGAAAACTAAACCTGTTAAAGCTGTAATAAATGTGAGACATTGAGCTGTAGCAGTGTTATAACCTCGGTCCGTTGGGTCTCACTGTAATGCTAATGAAGCCAGTGTCTCGGTGGTCTGACTGTAGCTGGAGTGGGACTGTGGGTGACACTGGTTGCCATGGCAGTAAATAACACAACTCCACTGAAATCGTCATCTTTATCGTCCTCACACGAAGCACGGATCACACAGGGTTCAGTACGGAAGCCCATATCCGCCAATGTGACGGGGAAAAGATTTTGTAATTGTCATTATAATGAGACATTTTCTTAACATTCTGACAAACGTTTCCAATATTTTGACTTAGTATTTCAAAATAATGACATTATGATACTGAGTCATTATTCACATAGTCAAAATATAAAGATACCACGGAGCCTATATTTATTTGAAATATATTGAGAAAGCTTTTCATTATGTTGAGATGCTAAGTCAATATTTTGAGAAAGCTTCTCATTCTCATTATGTCACATTGGCTGAAACGGGCTTCCGTAGTTTAGACTGCCAGTCCAAATATAAGCTGTGGAAGGCAGCAGCCAGAAATACATAAAGAGGGAGGTGGAAATGATTAAATTATGTTTATCAAAGTGGGGGCCAGGGCCAATCTTGGGGACTGCAAGGAGGTGCCAGGGGGGGCCACAGTGGATTTTCTTTAGGGAAAATGTAAGGGGATGCAAAATATAAATAAATATATAAAATAATAATGTATGTATGTATATATGTTATATACATATAATGTATGTTATAAAATATAATTCACAATACTATATTGAACTCTTGTTTGATATGCCTGTCTTTCTAAGTGCCTGCCTCTCAAAACATTACTCATCATATAGAATGTCATTGTGTGACCAGTGCTGTAGTGGAGGTTTTTCCTTAAGGGACCCCTTTTCATTGACTAAACTGACGACTAAATGACATTTTGTGGATATTTCATATTATATTCCATACATAACAATAACAGTAGAGAACAACTGATAAACTGTACAATGAACCCAAACAGTGAACACAGAGATGAGTTTTCCTGATATTTTTAGTAACTTCATACAATTCTCTGTCTGTATTATGTATTTATTTAGTTTTTAACAATCATACATACTTAATAGGCTTCTTTATTGACAAATTGAGTGTTTTCTTTTACCTGATGCTTGTTCTATTAGCGCTTTGCTTGTTATAACTGCATACGTATTTACTGCAGGACAATGAGATACAGGCCTACTGTGTACATTTTTAAAGTTTTCCTACACGCCTTAAAATCCAGAAGGTCTTGCGACCCCCTGTGAAGCTTTGGCAGTCTTAGTGGTTGTCCCGACCCCCAGGTTGGGACAACCACTGGTGTAGTGTTGCCTGAAGACTTGGGTATACTCAAAAGTTATGCCCCCAAATTATATTATTTTTTGAAGCTGCCCATCCAGCAAAGTATGAACACCCTAAACACCACCCAATGCCTGCTACAAAGCAGCTCTGCTCCTGAAATTTAGCTAGCTAGCTTGTATCTAAACCAAAAAGGTGAATGTTAAAATTCTTATCTTAATAATCTACCTTCTGTATTTTCTGGAGTTTTCCTGTGCAGTGCAAACAAACTGTTGTGGCTAATGGGTGACATTGCAATAAGTTCATTGGTCAAAATCATCTGTGGGCTAAACATTTTTGGTCATAAGTCAAGAATTAATGCAGTATGTTTGATAAGATACAACAATGAAGTGATGACATTTTTTTTATTCAGGTCACAGGTCAACTTCACTGTGACATCATAATGTGCTGGCCATTATTCAACACCATAACCCAGGAACATAAGGGAAGACTGTAACAATATTTCACAGTTAGTCGGATACTGAACTGGTGACACTCAAAGGTCAAAGGTCACTGGGACAAAATAGGTTTCTAGCTATAATTTAAGAAAAAAGGATGAGATTCAAAAATGTTTCACACACGTTGATAATCCTTCATTAATCAAACATGTACATTCCATTTAGCCAAAAAACACGTTATACCTTTCATTACATTCCTTCAAAGTCTTCACTACATATACATTATATGAGTCTGGACAGACATGGACGTAAACTGCTACTTGATGGGTTGGCAGAAGGATACAACCACAGGACAGTAATTGTAGTTTCTTTCTGAGTTCACTCTGAAAGTTTGATATGAAAAGAGGATGTGATATTTTTAACATGAAACATAAACTGGGTGATTTCCCCACAGCAGTCAGTTTCTCTTAGATTTGACTTGACTGTTATTTACTCTTGATATCATTTTCATATTAGAAGTGTCTCATATGGCTCCAGCAGTCAGTGCAATATATGTGCACATTTCCAGTGAGCGGGACCAGACAGTGTGACCATGACTCACTCAGTTTACATGTTCACACACAAGGAGTCAACATGCTGTTGTAGAAGAATGTAATGTGCTGTTAGGAAAGGAGGAAAAAGAGATAAATCTTAATTTAGGCTCGTACTTACTGTACTCTTTATTTGACAGTGACAGTAGAAAGATACAGGACAGCAACCATTGTGTATGTTATGTATGCAACGCTCTGCTGTTTTTCATATATAAATTATATAACATAGCTTGAAATAATTAATGGCACCAAAGAGTAAATAAGCGTAGTGGTGGCCTACATTGATTAAAGGATGGTGTCTCCTCTAATTGTTTCAGACTTCCAGCTGTTGTATACAGCATGTGTCATTGGTGAGTACCATAGTATCACTTTGATACCATTACAAAAATGTTATTTTATACACATTTAATATTTTAATTGACTTTGAATAAGATGTTTTCCCAGAATGACATGTATTCACATTACTGCAGACCAAAAGCTAACACAGTATTTTATAGTATTATATATATGATTGGGTCTGGTTTCCATTTAATTTGTTAACAATATGAATTAGGGCTGTCCCTGACTAAAGATTTCCATTGCATTACATTTTAAAGTTAAATGCATCAATCTGGTGCACTTTGAAAGCAAAATTAAGAGGCTAGATCCCCGAAGAACTGTGTGCTCTTGTAAACAATTTAATCATAAACACATTATAGATGCGAATGGTGAAAACACAAAATCAAGTACAGCATACATCTGAGCCATCAAAGAAATTAATCAAAAGTGGTTACCTGTGTTGAACTAGTTTATTTTTTAGCAAATAAAATAATAAATAATTAAACTGTAAGCTAAATTGTAATAAAAAAATAAATTGGATTCCGAGGGTACATCATCAATTCATCGTTAGTTGCAGCCTTAAGGGGAGACATGGTAGGCAAAAACATTTTGGGTTATTTTGCTTCCATAACAAGTCTTCTTTCAGACTAGTGGAAAGAAAACCTCCAAAATACACATTTCTACAACTCTCCCTACATCCCTATTTGCAAACTTTGCACCCCGAATTTGGACATTTAATTTTCCTGGGCTTTGACAAAAAACAGTTCTAATGCCCTTTGGTAGTTAAATTCCTCTGGACTCGGCCCATTGATGGAGACCCTCAGTGGACTCGGCCCATTGATGGAGACCCTCAGGCAGCCAGCCAGGTGCTCTCCTTGCAGCCTGTTACGAAGGTCTGATTTGACCTGAAAATGAAGGTAACTACAATTAGCCAAATGAATGAAAATATTTTGAGCACACTGCTCTTTTGGTTAAGAAGAGTATGCAGTTCATCATGTAAGTGCAATGGGTTAAATGTTTGGCACACATCTCAGCAACATATTTATATGAAACTACTCTGACCTACTGCCCCTTTCTCTGCTGTTAAACTCACCTGCTGTCCCTCCGTCAGGGGAGGCTGTCTCCCCTGCTGTCCCTACGTGAACTACCTGCCCTGCTCTCTCAAACTCTGTCCCTCTATGAGAGTCTTTTTTATGAGTTTTACTGAAAATACGTTAGTTACAAGGCTCGCAGGGCTCTCGTCCGCAACGCCTTGTAAACGATTGATTAATTATCAATAATAAACTTTTGCAGTAACGTTATCTGTTTGCTGTCGTACATTGATCAGGATAAAATTGTGTTTGAACTAGTGGATACTGTAAAGTTCGATGTCGTGTCCTAAAATGCCTTGACGTCTCGGATGCTGTCAGGTAACGTTAGATATTCCAGTGCGTGTGTGTGTATGAGTGTGCGCGCGCCGCGTACAGCAACGGGGGGAGGGGCAGAGCCGACTGACTGGGAGTGAGAGATGCTTTGCCGAAGCAGCGGCGTGAAACACAAGTTACAGATCTTTTATGTTATTATGAGAAGTGTACAAATTTTTTTCGGTTCATTCTGAGACTGTGAGGGGACAAATAAGACTGTGGCGGGCCGCCACAGTCTAAGTAATGGGAAACACTGGTACAAATTAACTCGTGACAAACTGGCTCCTCTTCCTCCATTTCATGCCTCTCCTGTTGCTGCCTGAACGTGTCTTCATCTCCAGAGTCAGAGTCCTGGTCGGAGCTGCTGTGGCAGGCATAACAGGTACAAGGAGTGGATGATGAGAACCCCCTTATAACCGAACCTTAAAGGAATAGTTTTGGA